CTGTACCTAGAAAACTCTGTAAAGTGTTGCCACAAGTCAGAATTGACTTGATAGCACATGATTATTATTAGTAAGAAACAAACATAATGGTAGCAGTAATGGTTTTCTTGATGTACAATAACTGGTGGTCTTCCCTATCCATGCTCAAATTAAGCTGTGTCTGGGGTGTATAACAACTACTTCTACTATTAATGATAATTACAATTATGATACTATGATGAACATTAATTAATAAACATTAATTACTAAATGGATCGCAATTAATACAGCAGTGTACCAAACCAATTGTGTGTGCAAAATATCAAACATATGTTATTTTCAGATTAAACTGTAGTGATCGTTTTCAGAGACTGTTTCATATTCTGTTCTAGTTAGGTGTATTAATACAACCAATTGGACTATGATTTATTTGACCATTATATAAAGGAGTAGCTTTGAGAACTGATTTCATGTAATCAGTCAACATACCAGAATAGTTTTGAATGTACAGTTGGAGATTTTAGAAATTTGCAGACATGCAAAAAAATATTTAAAATAATATTCTGTGTTGGCCATTCGTATGAGATTGGGCAGGCAAGAAAGTTTGCATCCACGATTTTGAACTCTATTATTATCCTAGGGTCTGAATACAACATTGTTGATTACCAGAAATAGGAGAGGGGATGTTTGTCGTTCTGCTGTGCTAGAAAAAACGTACACAAAAAGCTGTTGATATAAGACCTTTTAAAACATTTTATATTTTAATAATCCTGAACTGCTTTGTATAATTTTGTCATGGCGGGGGGGGGGGAGAGATTATAGAAATTGCTTTATTGAACCTTTAGGATTAAAAGGTGGGAGTAACACAAGAACAGACTAGGTATAGCTCAGTATTGTGGTGCAGCAGGCTTTGAAGTCAGGGGCCAGGCGTCACCACTGTTCCTCCTAAAAGAGGGACCTGCCAAAATCACACAGAGCATGGGTGGTTTCGTGATTAAAACGACGACAGAGGGCACTGAGCCCCCTTGTCACATGGGGGGGGTTCCCACATTTATTGATTGATTGATTGATTGATTGATTGATAGCATTTATACCCCACCCATCTAGTCAGTTTTGACTACTCTGGGCGGCTTCCAACATATATAATTAAAACAATATAAAATATAACAACATCATAGACATCAGTATGTGTCAATTCTTCCGATCATACGGAATCCGTGACTACTCTGGGCGGCTTCCAACATATAAAATTAAAACAATATAAAATAATAACAACATTATAGACATCAGTATGTGTCAATTCTTCTGATCATACGGAATCTGAAGAATTGAACCGGGCTTGCATTTTGCACCTGAGGTCTGGTTCCACCCTGAGATGGGACCCCCGTTTTAAACCCTTTGGAAAGTCAGAGAACGGTGAGACGATTTTCGCATAGATTTCCTTTTCGTACTCATGCAACATGTACTTTATCAGGAGAGTGGGTGGGATGTTTTAATGAACAGTCTAAAGAAATGCTCTGCGTGATTCCAAGAAACAGCTATACCGTGTACATATGTGTTCATTCTGCAAAAGCCAAAGGACAGCATGGTTTCCTGTAACTTCATCTTATGCCCTGGAAAGACAGTGTAAACTGTCATCCGTGCCTTTCGAAGAGCTTAGCCTACTGAACGGTATTTGGGAGCTGGGCAGCGTTTATGTAATTACATTGTTAATAGCCTGGGCAGCCTAAAGGACAGATTTAAAATGGTTAGGCTGAAGTCAGCTTAGGTTTTTTCTTTTTTCTTTTTTTGGCAGTGACCGGAAAGAGAAATGCCATTTCTTATTCCTTGATGGAATAGGACTTTCAAATGGATGTCAATATTTAATGCTAAAGAAAGCTTACTTGCAAATGAGCTCCAAAGCGTTCCTTTGATGTGCAGAGTTAACCTGGGGACCTCCTTGTCACAGGATATTACTGAAGCGAATAGCTTAGTGAGATTATTTGTGACTTGGGAATTAGGGTTGTCCCCCTCCCCTCACTGCTTGTGTTTGTGTGTCTGAGCGGGTATTTCTGGAGATTATGATCTAGCCGGCAAAACAAGAGGCGGAACATTTATACCGTATGAAGGAAGGGGGGAAATTGTGTTAACAAGCAGTAGGGTGGGGGTAAGACAATTTAAATGCATCGTTAGCTGGTAGGTGGTGAAGGTCTTGTGGTTAATGAATGCAAGGATCAGGATAACTGTGTGATCCTCTGACCTTCTCAGCATCAGCCCAGATCTGTTTCATTTGTCTTTGTTTTGAATGAGCAGGAAGACATTACACAGTTGGTGCTTCTTGTTAGTTTTGCCTTTGTGTATTTGTAAACATGGACCATAAAGCTGTCAGTGACTGCTGTAGTCACAGTGGTTTTGTAGGATCGCCTGTACGGGAAGCACAGCGTTTTTTGAAGGCCAGGTTTTGGGAAATGTGGGAAGGAGAGTGCTGTTTTACTCATCCCTGCTGTTGCAAAAGCTGAGAATCAGATGAGGTTAGCAGGAGACGCTGAAAGCAACAAAAAGGCATTCTTCAGGTACGTGCCTAGCAAAAGGCAGAGAAAATAAATAGTTGCTTCGTGGGGATAGAAAAATGGTTAAGAGGCAACAAAGAAGAGACAGCTACTTGCTTTAGATTGGTCTTTTCCCAAAAGACATCCTACAATCCTCCAGGCAAATGTGAAGTACAAGTAGAGGGGACAGGATTTCAGCTTGAGATGAATAAATAGTCAAGGAAATACTTTATTAATCATAGAAACATAGAAAGGTGAAGTTGGAAGGGGCCTACAAGGCCATCAAGTCCAACCCCCTGCTCAATGCAGGAATACAATCAAAGCATATCTACAAGTTTTTCTTGAATGCCTCCAATGTTGGAGCACCCATCACCTCTCGAGATAATTGGTTCTACTGTCGCACTGCTCTAACAGTTAGGAAGTTTTCCTGAGATTCTACCAAAATCTGGCTTCCTTTAACTTGAGCCCGTTGTTGTTTGTCCTGCAACTGGGATGATCAAGAACAGATCCTGCCCCTCCTCTGTATGACAGCCTTTCAAATATTTGAAAAGTGCTATCATATCTCCCCCCAGTCTTCTTTTCTCAAGGCTAAACACGCCCAATTCTTTCAGCCTTTCCTCATCAGGCTTGGTTTCCACCCCCCTGATCAACCTCACCAACCTCCTCTGAACTTGTTCCAATTTGTCAGCCTCCTTCTTGAAGTGGGGTGTCCAGAACTGGACACAATATTGAAGGTGAGACCTAACCAGTGCTGAATAGAGGCGGACTAGCACCTTGCAGGATTTGGAAACTATTAATGTAGCCTAAAATAGCATTTGCCTTTTTTGTAGCCACATCACACTGTTGGCTCATATTTAGCTTGTGATCTATGGCAGTTCGAAGATCCTTCTCACTTGTAATTTCACTGCAAAAACTTTGCTTGCTTGCTCTTCTCTTCTAAAGTCAGCTCTATGACTTTCTCATGTCATCAGTTGTTTACCATGTATTTCATTTGTGTGTACCCTGAGTTACCTATGTGCCTTTTGTACTTTATTCACCAACACTTATGTCATACCTACACCAAACCTCTCTGCTGAGCCAGGTATCCCCCATCTTGTAACTGTGCAGTTAGTTTTCTTTTCTGAAGTGCAAGACTTTGTATTTCTCCCTGTTGGATCTCATTCTGTTGCTTTCGGCCCAGTGCTCCACCCTATCAAGGTTATTTTGAATTTTGTTTCTGTCTTCTAGGGCAGTGGTCCTCAATCTTTTCTAAACCACGGACCGGTTGGGGGGGCGGTCCATGCGTTGGTGGGTGGGGCACACCCCGCTTGTGGGCGGGTGGGGCATGCTTCTGTGGATAGGCGGGTCGTGCATGTGGTGGGTGTGCATGGGGTGTGTGCATGCGGGGGGGAGCACATCTGTCTCTGCAGCCCGGTCCTGCCAGTGCCACGGACCGGTACCAGGCTGAAGACTGGGGGTTGGGGACCCCTGTATTAGCTATTCTGCTCAATTTGGTATCATCTGCAAATCTGATGCGCATTCCTTGCACTCCCTCATCCAGGTCATTAAGAAAAATATTGAAGAGCACCGGGCCCAGGACTGAGTCTTGGGGTACCCCACTGGTTGCCTCCTCCTGGTTAAGAAAAGGACCCATTAATCATCACCCTCAGAGTACGATTCTGTAGCCTTGTGCTCTTCAATATTTTTATTAATGACTTGAGTGAGGGGGGCAGAGAATGCTAATCAGTTTTACAGATGACACAAAATTGGGTAGAATAGCTGATACCCCGTAAGACAAGGGAAAAATTCAAATAGATCTTGATAGGCTTGAGCACTGGGCTGAAATCAACAGAATGAAATTTAACAGGGATAGTGTAACATTCTACACCTAGGGGAAAAAATAAATGCACAGTTGCAAAATGAGGAAAGACGGAAATAACTGGGCATGTTTAGCCTTAAGAAAATAAGACTGAGGAGAGAGATGACAGCACTTTTCAAATCTTTGAAAGGTTGACAAACAGCAGGTGCTGGATCTATTCTGAGTCATCCCAGTGTGCAGGACATATAATAATGGACTCAAATTATAGGAAGCCAGATTTCAGCTATCAAGAAAAACTTCCTAACTGTTAGAGCAGTATGAAACAGAACCAATTAGCTTCGAAGCTGGTGAACACTCCAACACTGGAGGCATTAAAGAGAAAATTGGACAGCCATCTATCAGATCTGCTTTTATTTGGATTCCTGCCTTGAGCAAGGGGGTTGGCCTTATAGGTCCCTTTCAACTCCATCTTCCAAAGTTCCAGATGATACTAACATTATTGTAGGAGCTGGAAGAGGTCAATTTGGAGATGAGTGGCTGCTAAGTAGAGGGAACCTGGCCGTCACAGAACTGAACTATTAAATTGAGGGGATAGATGAGATTAGAAGTATCCGACCATTTAGCAGGCTGAAAAGCATTGCAGAGATTATTAATGGCAGAAACTTGATTTAATTTGTCTTATTTATTTATTGCAGAATTTCACCTTTTCTGGATGCAGTTTTAGTCACTGTTGCTATGGAGAAGATCAAGGAGCAATTTTCCGCTCTCCAAATAGCAAAACGGTCTGCACTGACGAAAGACCCAACTTATTTATTGGACATAGATGTTTCAAGAGGAGAAGAGAGCAATTTGGTGGCTGTTTCCTGTTCCAATAAATCGATCAGAGTTTATAACAGAGAGACATTAACGCTGCTGCAAGAATATAGCAGCCATCAGGGCTTACTCTATGGTGTCCGATTTGCACACACTAGTGAAGCTGTACTCTTTTCGGCCTGCAGTGATGGAACCGTAAAATGTTGGGATACCCGTTCAGCTTCTGTAGAACCAGTACAGCTGTTTTGCGGCTATCCTTCTAACATCTTCATTAGTTTTGATGTAAGCTGCAACGACCTTATACTGTGTGCCGGCACAGAAAAAGTGGCAGAAGATGTATTCATAGTGTTCTGGGATGCCAGAGGTTGCACAAACAAGCCTTCTTCCAGCAAAAAGCCACTGGGTGCCTATTCAGAGTCCCACAGCGACGATATTGTTCAAATACGTTTTCATCCCATCCAACCCAATCTCCTCGTTTCAGGGTCAACCGATGGCTTGGTGAATGTGTTTGATATTAACAGGGACAATGAAGATGATGCTTTGCTTTCAACGTGCAACTCTGGCTCGTCCATAAGTTTCATCGGGTGGTCTGGAAAAGAATATCGGCAGGTCTACTGCATGACACACGACGAGGGATTTTGTTGGTGGGATCTCAACCACTTGGATAAGGAGGAGCCAATTACGTTGCTGCATATTTCAGATGCAAGAGACGCCACTGGCGTAGAAAACACCAAACTGGACTACTTAATTGGCGGCTTGTATCATGAAAAGTTGGACAAATTGATTGTTGTTGGAGGTTTGACCACAGGAAGCGTCTGTCTCATGGACTGTGGCACTGAAGGTCTGACATCAGTGGGAGCCCTTCATGATGGCCACTCTGCTACCGTCCGCTCTTTTTACTGGAATATGGAAGATAGCTCTTTGTTGACTGGTGGAGAGGATGCCCGGCTGTTGCTATGGAAACCTGGAGCGGTAGAAAAAGCCTTCAAAAAGAAGACATCTTTGAAAGCTGTGTCCTCTCTTCATCAAAGAGCTAGAGTTCACCAGGACTATTTCAAAAGGAAGAAAAATTGATCAGTAGAGAAGTGAATACAAGAGGGACCCTCTTTTACATGCATCAGAGTAGATCTCTGGTCTAGATGGGCGAGATAGAAATCCAATAAATAAATAAATCTCTGCAGGAGCTTTCTCCAATCCTGCTGTGTTGGATTAATGTTCCTATTATCTCTTGTCGGTATCACTGGGGATTATGAGGGTTGTAGTCCAACGCAGCTGAAAAGGACCCTGAAAAACATGACTTGGGGAGGCCGCTGTATACAACAATAGCAGTGTCATGGTACCGTAGGAGAAAGAAGAGCTGTGTAGGCCTTAAAAACTTAAGTGCAGAATGCTGATGGGAAATGCAGAGCATTTTATCCCATGGTGTATAATGCCCTGTGTGATCTACAGCTTGAACCTCCATGAGCCAGAGATGACTGGATTGAGTGGAAAAGGGCTTCCATTTCACAAAGGACTAGTGAATGTCCCTTATTTATTTATTTATTAATTTATTAAATGTATACCCCGCTCTTCTAGACCATGTCCCTTGGGGAACAAGTGCTTTAGAAAGGTGTGCATGTGCACACAGTGAAAAAAAGAGGACCCTGTTCTAATTTATTAAGCTATCAGCTCTTATGCTCTGGAGTCCATATCATCATTCAGAATAGCTCATGTGCCATAGAAAATATGATACGGGACTGTATCCGGTCATAAGGGCAGATGTTTTAAACAACGGAGAATATTTCTCAGAGTGCAGGCTTTATTATAGGTGTCTGGTACACACACCTTGACTCTGAGCAGATCTCCTAAAAAAATCATAATCAAGACCAGTGGGTCTCTAGTATCCAGTGAAGAATGCTTAGGACTGGCGTTCCAGTGTGGGAATCTGTTTAGCAGATTAAAAAGTGCTGTCTGAAATGGCTCTGGATAAGTTTGTTGAAATATTTTTCTTTACCTTCCTATAGTTCCATTTCTATTTAGCATTTTATCCCCCCCAAAAGAGATGGTTTTATTGTTGATGAAGATGCTGTTAAAAAAGGTGTAATGGAAATGAAATAAATAATAGTGCAGAAGTGTTCTTCCTGGGCTGTCTTTCCACATACAGAGTTGCATGAAGAATACTGTATCAGTGTGACCTGGCACGGTGGGGCTGCAGTCGTCTTGCATGTGATTTGGGATGGGCTGCTCTTACTGTAAAAGTGCTGTTATTCTGTAGTGCAATGGAGATGACACAGAGAGACGGGTAGCCCTTTACCTACGTATAGGAGATGTGGCCATTGTGCATCCCCAGGGCATTTTTGTACCCCCCCTTAGAGACCCACCTCCTCAAATTGACCAAAAGCCGTATCTCAGTTCTTGGAGTCTCCAGGAGTGGGTTTAAGGACCTTCCCCAATCCCAAAAGAAACTGGAAGGAATCAGCTGAGTGTTTCCTGATGGTTTGTAATGTTAGTGTCCAGCCGCATCCAAGTCCACTGTGATTTAGGGTCAGTTGCCCTTGTTATGGGTCAAGGCTGTTAACTGTGTAGGGCAGAGAAGGAGACCATAAGTGACTAAGCAGCTGTTGGTTACACTCTGGACATTTAGCAGTAACCGCAGTAAGAACACCTAAAACCCAAATTCAGGGCCTTTATGTGGTTCCTGACACCTGTCTAAGTTTAGAAATATGAAAAATTAGCTTTAGCCCTTCTTTTTTGCTAAAAAAAAAAAAGTCAATTTCTGCTCCTGGAAGCCTCTAGGAATAATTGCTTTCACTTCGTAATCCCCCCAAAAAATAAAACAAAAAGAAATGCCCACAATTATGGGTCAAGGCTGTTAACTGTGTAGGGCAGAGAAGGAGACCATAAGTGACTAAGCAGCTGTTGGTTACACTCTGGACATTTAGCAGTAACCGCAGTAAGAACACCTAAAACCCAAATTCAGGGCATTTATGTGGTTCCTGACATCTGTCTTAAGTTTAGAATATGAAAA